TGTTTACTGACTAAACTTCCAATATATTGCATGCACTGCATGCAATATATTGCATGTGGAAGTCCTCCTTTTGTAGCTAGGGATTGTTTTCTGCCTCAGTGGGCGTAGCTGCCACATTCACTGATTTAGAAGCAGTGTGCTTTTCTTCCCAGCAAGGTATCTGCTAATGTCTCCCCTACTGAGTTCATTCAGCTGAAACTGGCTGCAACAACTGCTGTATCTGTTGCAGCTTTTAAAACCACGAGGACATACACCTTCAGCGTACCAGTGCAGACTGCCTTTCAGACAATCGGTCGGCCCTGTCCTTCCTTTGTAGCTTCATATTCATTCTGCATAATGAGGTCTCAGAACGTTCTCATTGCACGTGAAAACGTGGAGCTTCCATTCACAGATGTTCTTGCCAGGAACCACCTTCCCTTTATTTACAAAAAAAAAAAAAAATAATAAAAGGAAACGCCTTCCCAAGTCAATACAAAACAGCGCTGTGAAATCGCTGCTGAGGCTGATGTACTGTCACAAGGAGGCAGGCGAGAGCAGCACATAGCCAAAGTGCTCCCGGTACATCGGGGAAGAGGACTAGCGCTGACCTTCCCGAGGGAGTACAAAGAATCCTCCTGGGCGATGGTACACTAAATATTCCTGGTACTGTGTTTGTCCCGGTAGGCTGAAATTCTTTCTCTTAAGATACATCACACAGAGCCCCTTTTGAGCTGTTACCTTTACTGTTTCAAGATGTTAGAATTATCTTGATCGTAGGATTGAGTTGTTCCTTTTGCGTTTGAACCACCCTTTTCAGCAGTTCTTTCTTCAGTTGGGGAAGCTTCTTCAGCCTGGCTACAGACTGCTGCTGTAAACGGAACAGTAGAGCTACAGCGTAGCATTGGTGCAGAGCTTCATGTAGGTGGGCATGTTCAGAGAAAATTAAAATTACAGTACCTAGAGAGAAAAACAACCTATTCTATGCATCACCCCTTTCTGATACTCTCAAATATTCAGAGATCCATTCCTGCATAAATTTTAAAGCCAGAAGTCAATTATTGGCAAAGGTCACAGTTTGTATTTTTAATGTAAGACAACTTGTTTCCCCTTTTTTTTTTTTTTCCTTAGGACATCACGCCTTGATCTAAAAGCTTCAGCTCATGAGGAATGAGCTACATAATTTTCATAAAATTGTCTAATGTAGGCTTTTAAGCAGACAGTTATTTAATCTAGCAGCAACAATCCTGCCCCTGAAGACATCTAAGATGAGACTGCAACAGACTGCACCTCTTCTCTTGGTTAACCAGTCTTCTCCTGGTTAAGAGATTCATCTTTTGAGCTGCCACAGGGATTCTTCCCTCTCAGAACCTCAGGCTGCTCTGCTAGCTGTCTGCTCCGGTCTGTCTGTAGTTCTCTGTGTCCTGGTTGATGCATAGATGCTGAATGAGGTATTTGTTACAGGTGCTGTACCGAGTTACCTGAGGTAAATTCCTATTATCTGCATCCCCATTGTGAGAGGAGGACTTCTGAAGCTCTGGTCAAACTGGTTTCTCTCCTCACTTCTAAACCCTTTCAGTGTGGCAATATGGTGGGACCCCTCTCTTGTTGCATGACCCACACTCTGCCCATAGATCTGGTATAGTACCATCAGATGAAGAGCTTCAAGTTTCCATCAGCTTATAGTACCCAGAAGCCCGACCTGATTCATCTTGAGCACCCCTAGAGTCAGCTTGCCTCTTCATCTGAAAACCCAACAGCTCTGATTGTAGAACTCCTTTGAAAAGGAGCTCTAAAAATTGTAAAGCTCACTCCAAAAGGCAATGAACATTTGAGAGCAGATCCCCTTACTGCATTACTGATAGTCTTTGGGACAGCAGTTCTGTTCTTTGCTTAAGAAATTGCCAACTAGTTGATTTTAATTCAATTGTTACAGAGCATCAGCATGGCATGTGCTGCTATTTGAATAGCATGTGGGAGGAACACAAACACATTACAGAAAGTGCAAGTTTGACAGGGGAACCCAAATATAGACTATGATTATGGGACCATTCTCTGGTTTGTTAGCAGTATGGGGACACAGAGGGGTTTGTACTGGGATCATTATCAGGCTACTCAACCTGTATTGACTTAAATCAAAAATGACACAGAACTGATTTTCACTATCTGTCCTGAGTCTACAGAACTACCATGTTGGTACTTGTTCTTATAGAGAATCATAGAATAGTTTGGATTGGAAGGGACCTTTAAAGGCCATCTAGTCCAACTCCCCTGCCATAAGCAGGGACATCTTCAACTAGACCAGGTTGCTCCAAGCCCCGTCCAACCTGGCCTTGAACACCTCCAGGGATGGGGCAGCCACAGCTTCCCGGGGCAACCTGGGCCGTCTCACCGTGCTAATTAGGAAGAATTTCTTCCTAATATCTCAATCTCCCCTCTTTCAGTGTAAAACCATTCCCCCTCATCCCACGGCTCCCCTCCCTGATCCAGAGGCCCCCCCCAGCTCTCCTGGAGCCCCTTTAGGCACTGGAAGGGGCTCTGAGGTCTCCCCTTTTTCACCTTCTCTTCTCCAGGCTGAACCCCCCCAACTCTCCCAGCCTGTCCTCCCAGCAGAGGGGCTCCAGCCCTCCCAGCATCTCCGGGGCCTCCTCTGGCACTGCTCCAAGAGGTCCACATCCTTCTGATGTTGGACAATGTAATGAAGAGTGATTGTTATTAGCAATACAGGCTAGAGATTGACACTCTTAATTTCTTGATTCTGTATTAATTAATAAGAGAAATACTGCCTGTGAATGTTCCCCATTCATAGAGAGGTGCATAACATGACAAAATGTATTTGGTAGTGCCTGAAGTCTTTAGTTCTTCCTACTTTAGACATTTAGCTGCTCTTTTCAGTGTTGCTTACTGCTTATTATTGAAGATCAAGAACTCTCTCATGTATCTATAACCCTGTATGATTCTTGGCTGTCATTTAATTCACATCAAAACCAGCAGCAGAGCTTACCGCGTTCACATATGCTCCCTGGGCAGCACCTACCATTCTCCACAACCCTCCAGCAGGAGCACAGCAGCCCACCTGACCCTGGGGCCTCAGGAGATACCCTGTCCTTTGGGGTGCCACAGGTGACACCCGTCCCCTCCCTCATCCCCATACAGCCCCCCCACGAGGGCTCCCAGTGCCCCCCTCTCCCCAGGACACACCAGCCTTCACAGCGGCGGCCCTCAGCCACCGACCCCTCACACCTGAGGGCCTGCAGCAGCCTCTCCGTCAGCGACACACCGGCACCACAGTACACAACCACAAGGACGGCTGCAAGCGCCCCAGCAGGGCTGACAGGAGCCACGCAGCACAGACCCGCCTGCTGCCGCCGCTCCGGCCCCTCTGAGGGGGCGCGCGCCTCCCGCCGCGCTTATATAGGGGCGATGCAGCGCGCATGCGCAGAGCGCCACCGCTGCGCGCGCTCCCCCCTTCCGCCCGCCCGCGGCCTATTAATGGGGTCGGTGTTGGGCAGAGCCGCGTTTGCTGAGGGGTTTCCTTAGTATATGGCGAGCCCTACGCGCTCGTGTTTATATATATGTGTGTTTTAACGTACGTATATCTTTAGCAGCTTCTTGCTGCTAGGGTTGCAGTACGATACTCGGGGGGTGGTTAAAACACGCTGTGGGGGACGCGCAGCAATTTTTTTCGCCTGCGTTAGATAAAAACGCAATTAACTCGCGTTGTTCGGTGAGATGCTGCGTTCTCCCATTTACCCGAGCGTTTGAAACGGAGGCGGGAGACTTGAGTTTGCGGCAAGCAGCGCTTCAGGAGGCTCCCGGGATCGAGGCGTTTGGCCGCAAAGGCGCAAAAATGCGGTGAGAGAAAATCGAGGAAGAGGCTGAGGTAAAAAGGGCGGTGCTGTCCCTTCCCGGGCAGGGTGGAAAAGGAGGGGGAAAAAAATACAAAAGTGAAGCTTCCCATACCGGGAGTCGAACCCGGGCCGCCTGGGTGAAAACCAGGAATCCTAACCGCTAGACCATATGGGAGGCGCTGAGGGGTGGTGTGTCCGCCGGCCCCATAGCTCCACCTACCCCCCCGCCGCTATCGCCACAGCGCCCCTGCTGCCAGAACAGGGCTGCCCGCACCCAAGATGGCGGTCGGTGCTTCCCTGCCGCCCCGCCCCTTTCCCTTCCCCTCGCCTCGCCCGGCCTCGCATCACATGACGGGAGGGGGGCGCG